TTGTCCCGCTGTCAATATATTACTTAATTTATTTAAACAACAGCTTCAGTTATAAAGGAAGGATAACAATATATGGATGAACCACTTGCCGTGAGAGCGACATTTCGGTGTCGGTTGTAACCGTTATCTAGCAAGTGATGAACAGCATAAGGATGGAGGAGCATATCTACACGATAGAGGAAATGTGTGTAGAGTACAATGGGTGAGTGAGTGAGTGAGTTAAAATTTATCGTCACATCGGCAATATTTCAACCATATCGTGACGAGAACAATTAATTTTATACATAGTAATTAATGGTAAATTGTAAAAGCCTGTCAACAAAGGACAGTAAAATACCTAGATTATCACAGATTCGAATTTAAAACTAGTAATTAAATCTAAAGCCGTTTAACTATAGATGACAATACAGTATAAAAACAGGCTATAGATCGCCAACAACTGAAGGTAGATCACCATACTAGGGACCATGGGGACTTACAGTACCTTTGCTACCTGCATGGACCCTTGTTGGATTTACACCATCCCTTCAGCTGTTGGCGATTGTAAGAAATGTTAGTAAAAATTAAAACAACAAGAATACTACGTTTAAAAATCATGGTAAGTTTGAATTGACTTTGAAAGTTTTGGGACTTACGTACCCTCTCAGGAGGACAACATTTTTACAATGCTTCAACCCCCCTTTGAGGATACAGCCACTAACAATCTAAGCTGATAATCCGAACTACCATATATAAAACTTTATCTGTTTACAAAACATATATCAAAATTCATTTAAGAAATCTATCTCTTTTAACAAATCAATGATTAAATGATAATTAACTTTATTAAACAGGTCCTTTACTGTTTTGATATTGAAATATGTATCCCTTATGATGGAGAACTCAACACAATACAGTGCAATGGGGCTCAGGAAGCCAGACACAATAACAACACGTAGCCTTTGATAAAAGTGTTAACAAGTGAAGCCTGCAGTATACATAAAGGGGGGTATATCGATGATGAGGTTCTTCGATCGGCTGGCAGTATGCAGGAGGTATGTAGTAACCTTGGTCACGGTTGATTGATGGCTGGAGTCTTTTGATGTAGATGGCTTCTGGGGGTTTCCTCAGTTTAAAGTCTGTGAGGTTGGCTGTTGGGGTTTGGGTTCTGTCCCACTGGATGTTGTGGTCGGGGTTGTCTGGGATTTGATTTGATATGGCTGATTGTGAGTCAAAATTTAAAGGGGAAGTGTACACGAAAAACATCACATTTTTCCCTTATGTGAAACAAAATGGAATTTTGAATTACTTGATATCACGTCTTGAAAATATACACTCATTTTTCTTACAATGAAGGTATAATCCTCAATATAAGTGCTGAAATGTTTTGCCATTATGGGGCCTTTGTTTGTTGAGCTGAACAGGCCAGAGTTACCCCTATTTGATAAGGACGTAATTGGTGCCACTTGATTTAGGCTGGTCTCCTGTCTAGTCCCAAATCAAAATATATAATACTGAAAATAATCACGTGGAAAAAAGTGTGTAGAAATACGAAAGAAGCATTGAAAATGTAAGCAGCCGGATAGATTGTGTATTTCCATTCATACCCTCACCTCAATGAAAATACCAAATATGTATACCAATGTTGATGTAGATATGACATCACTATCGGGAACTGAAGCGACTTTCACCCAAAAAAGCGTACACCGGATATTTGGAAGAAAACTTTCGTTGTTTCAAGCAAAGTATATGCATAAATGTGATATGTAAGTAGTGCGAAACATTCTCACAATCTGCGTGTCGTTGTATTCTTTTTCTTTGCATTGTGACAAATAGAAATATTGAGAAATGAGGAGAAGTGTCGTCAACGTCGTGCGTGAGTTTGCGTCAGCCATGGCGTCACGATTACGGAAACTATCATATATTGTGTTGAATCTAGGAAACATTGGAATACACTTATTGTGACTTCCTTATTTCTTGCTACGATAATCTTCCCATGCATTTTCTAAAACTTATGAGCAAGTGTATGCAACGAGTAGATGAACGGATCTCTCATAGTATGAGAAAATCTGAGCTTGGCACTGTTTACATTTCAAACATGTGGTCCTTTCCCAGCGCGGCACTCGTTTTCACTTCTGGTATATTTCGCTAGATTTCACTGAGACACTTGGTATTGGTGACAAAGACCATTTTACATTCTATTGTGAACTGTACGAGGGATTCAGGGATTCGTGTAAGGAAGCTGATATTGAATTGTAGTTGTGATGTAATGGGCGAAACATAACCGACATACGTGTGACGTGTTTTTATAAACACTCTGCAATATAAAAAATGAGGACTATTTTAATGGATATACAACTTCTTTATCCTGTATTGGCGACGTTTCGACATAGATTTTAATGAAAAACGACATTAGAATCCATGTCGAAACGTCGCCTTTACAGATTAGAGAAGTTGTATATCCATAAAATTAGTCCCCATTCTTCACCTACCCAACTTCTAGAATGCCAATCAAAGAAAGCTGTTTATATGGCTGAAAGTTCTTGTTCTCCAAAACAATCTCAGCGATTCTCGGTTCATCGACGATGTTTCAGAATAGGTGATTCGATCAAACAACAGTAACAACAAAAATACAGGTGATCAAAATGGGGTTGTTTTTCAAATTCAGTAGTCCCAGTAAAATTCGACATTTAAATTATGACATAGAGCGGTGTCGGGTATTACCGAACAACTGACACCATACCCCGTCTAATTCCTGCTGTGTTTTATAACATGAAGCAATAAGTATTAGTAACAAAGAACCGGTCAGTGGGAATCATGTACACATACAAAGGCCAGTAGGCCTTGTCAGTGGGAATCATGTACACATACAAAGGCCAGTAGGCCTTGTCAGTGGGAATCATGTACACATACAAAGGCCAGTAGGCCTTGTCAGTCGGAATCATGTACACATACAAAGGCCAGTAGGCCTTGTCAGTGGGAATCATGTACACATACAAAGGCCAGTAGGTCTTGTCAGTGGGGATCATGTACACATACAAAAGCCAGTAGGTCTTGTCCACCATCATTTTGCTAATAGATATTTCACTTCATCAAATTTTCATAATTGTTTTTATCGCTTGTCGACTCGTCTGAACTTCCTTGTCAGGCTATTCCGATCAAACGGTGTGAGACCGAAGTGTCATATCATTGCTTCGGCAGATGGTTGATAAAGAGTTTCCTCGTTCCTGTTACTGAAATTTGCAGATTGTGAAAAGTTCAGTAACAGGAAAGAGTATTTGTAAAGAACGAATGACGTCAAATTGAAATTCTAACAAGGATATCGATGTAACTGACATAAAACACAAAATTTGTCAAGTTTTCAAAAAATAAACACTTACATTGGCGGTCAGGCAACAAGACGGTTAAAAACGCATCGAGACACAAGAACCACACCTATACCTGCACCACGCGAAATGGGTCAAATAGAGTATGATGACGTCATTTGATTATGGGTTGGGCACCAATGACGTCATTTGCAAGGGACATAAGCCATGGTGCGTGTGTTAATGACTATACGTAAATGCACACTTCCTACAGTTGTGATGTTTTCAAATCCCCATAAATCCCCACAGCTCGTAACATCAGTTACATAAAGCTGCACATGTCGACGAGTATGTTTAGAAATCACTATCGAACTACGAAAATACGAGGTGTTCGTGAAACGGTTGGGGTGTCCTGCCCTGGTAATGTCCCTGATACATGCAAAGGCAGGTCAACTATTTACCTGAAATAACACAGAAACATGTGGTGCATGTCAGAAGAGGCATCCGGATCATCGATCATCATTTGCGTCAAACTGAGATAATCTTAGCAGGTCAAGCATGAAACGTGTTTAAAGTTTACTGAAGCCTGTTAATTATATAACTGAAGAGATACTTGAACTCCTTTCAACACATTTGCACTTTAAAACTTAAGACTAAACACCAGAGGCTGGAGCTGATGGATAAGTCCTGGGCATGGAAGGAAAGCTGAGTATTGGAAAGTGAAAGTCACGCAGCTTTACAGAGTGTGGTTTATCACAAATTGTCCTTGGCGTGCCGAGTACCTTTCTGGACTCGGTCCCAATGTGCCAATTTCAGTTTTGAAACTTGTCTTGCTTGTCTAAGACACGTGTTTGGATCGACTTGAATATATCAAGACGACGAGAAAACCCGAACGCTGTGCACGTGACTGCGTAACCTTGTTTTCGTCACTCTGCTTTGCGTGATTCTGCCTTGCGTGACCCTTCTTTGCGTGGCCCTTCCTTGTTTGCCCATTCCTTGTGTACCCGTTTCTTGTGTACCCCTGTGCCTTGTGTACCCCTGTGCCTTGTGTACCCCTGTTTCTTGTGTACCCCTTTGCCTTGTGTACCCTGTTTCTTGTGTACCCCTGTGCCTTGTGTATCCCTGTTTCTTGTGTACCCCTGTTTCTTGTGTACCCCTGTTTCTTGTGTATCCCTGTGCACTGTGTACCCCTGTTTCTTGTGTACCCCTGTGCCTTGTGTACCCTGTTTCTTGTGTACCCCTGTGCCTTGTGTATCCCTGTGCACTGTGTACCCCTGTTTCTTGTGTACCCCTGTACCTTGTGTATCCCTGTGCACTGTGTACCCCTGTGCATTGCCTGTCTGACAAAGTGACTGCTGTGTGTGGATAACTGTCAGTCCTAGCAACATGTGACGAGTGTATCTAGCGTGACAGCGGCGTGACTGTTGCTGGAGGTAAGACAGGGATTACCGGTTTATCTCCCGGGTATGAAGTCGTTATCTACCAGTAGATACACACACTCTGTAAACACAACTGTAACATCTATTATATCCAATATATAAATATCTGTTAATTACTTTGATAACACATATTGCGTACACACATCACTTTGATGATCTATTTTTGGATTAAATCCGGCTTCTGGGACGTGAAGTCGACATGGCATGTGTCTGTTGTGTGCGTTGTATCGGGCAGTGGAGATTAGTACATGTATCTGTGATTTGGCTTTTATTTCAGATGGTTGTATGGCCGCCAGAAGAAGGCCGTGTCGTCAGTTACCGTCCGTGTGTGAGTAGATGGAGTACCTCTGTATCCTGGGCTCAACTCAACAACATCTGACTGCCAAACAAGCTCGGTAGTCACCACACATTAGAGAGAAAACCTTGACGTCAGGGTGGGGTGATGCCTGACTACAGACGTCGTTGTCATGGAAACAGACGGGTTTTCGGTCGTGTGTCGCTTTGCGCTCCTGGTAATCAACGGAATAGCCATAGTAAGTAGATCTTTCACCAGAGTAAGTATACATATGGACAAAAGTAACAGTTTAATGGCAATTCTAAACGAAAAAAGCAGAGAGAAAAATACGTGGCAAATAACTGAGACATTTTATAGTTCTTATATCAATATTTATGGCTTATAATTATAACGTTAACCAGAGGGTCACTCTTCAAGAGATCACATTCGTATCACCAACCGAACACAATGTCCGTACCTGGTGTAACCTCCGCCAAGTGCAATAACAACCCTCCTCCTCTTTCACTGTATCAGACGAGGAATTTGACGTTGAGATATTGCGTCCGTTTCATGATGGAGAGCTTTTTCCAATGCAACAAGATTTTGTACCGGGGACCCCTCTGGCGTATTCCACGATGCATAATGTCCCAGTCATGCCCTATGGTACTGAGAACTGGATTCTTGGAGGGCCAAGATAGAGTACCTAGCTCCTCTTCAGGAAACAAGTCAACAACATCACGTGTTCGATGTGGCCTTGCATTGTCGTCCATGAAGGCCTTGTGTTAAGATAACAGTCACCGTAATGTGACATAACAGGGGTGTACCCTTGTAAATACAACTTTGTGTGGTCGCCACAAGGTCAAATATACTGTCATGTTAGAGGCACTACCCTCAAGGAGCCCTCACCTAAGGTACTTGCTCCAAGGACCCGTTAAGATCTGGGTCAGTATTGATGTTCAGTAACCATGCTCGTCGTAAGACGCGACTAACGGGATCGGGTGGTCAGGCTCACAGACTTGATTGAAAAATATCATCGTATCCCAATTGTGTAGATCGATGTTCATGCTCTTGATCACTGGATTGTCTGGTCCAGACTCGTTTTTCACAGACCATCGCCATATAGCTCACTCACTCACTCACTTGCTCCAAAATATTACCGTTGGGCATATGAAGTATTTCTGTTTGTCACATCACGTGGGTTCAATGTGTCGTTACATCACGTAGGTACAATGTGTCGTTACATCACGTAGGTACAATGTGTCGTTACATCACGTAGGTACAAGCTCGGCCATCAGTCACGAACAAAAGAAATCTACTTTCGTTCGTCCAAACTAGAATCAATGTATAGTGTGCCCAAAAGGTCACAGTATTCATGCACACAAACATGATAATGATATGAATATTCATGGCTATGAAAGCCATAGGTGTTGTATTGTTCCATGTGTAGATCTTCCACCAGCCAGTTGATCTTCCACCATAGTGGTCGTTGTCCGTCAAAGTGTCACTACAACGGGTACGTGTGGCCTGGGTGTCGATGTGTCGTTACATCACGTAGATACAATGTGTCGTTACATCACGTAGGTACAATGTGTCGTCACTGCACGTAGGTGCAATGTGTCGTCACTGCACGTAGTCGTGCACGTAGATACAATGTGTCGTTACATCACGTAGATACAATGTGTCGTTACATCACGTAGGTACAATGTGTCGTCACTGCACGTAGGTGCAATGTGTCGTTACATCTTTTAGGTACAATGCGTTGTCACTGCACGTAGGTACAACGTGTCGTTACATCACGTAGGTACAACGTGTCGTTACATCACGTAGGTACAACGTGTCGTTACATCACGTAGGTACAACGTGTCGTTACATCACGTAGGTACAACGTGTCGTGGTTTGTATGTTGCTGGGTTTTGTTGCCATGTTGGTTTGTATGTTGTTGAGTGTTGTTGCCATGTTGGTTTGTATGTTGTTGAGTGTTGTTGCCATGTTGGTTTGTATGTTGTTGAGTGTTGTTGCCATGATGGTTTGTATGTTGTTGAGTGTTGTTGCCATGATGGTTTGTATGTTGTTGAGTGTTGTTGCCATGATGGTTTGTATGTTGTTGAGTGTTGTTGCCATGTTGGTTTGTATGTTGCTGAGTGTTGTTGCCATGATGGTTTGTATGTTGTTGAGTGTTGTTGCCATGATGGTTTGTATGTTGTTGAGTGTTGTTGCCATGTTGGTTTGTATGTTGTTGAGTGTTGTTGCCGTGATGGTTTGTATGTTGCTGAGTGTTGTTGCCATGTTGGTTTGTATGTTGTTGGAGTGTTGTTAACGTGTTGGTTTGTATGTTGTTGTTGAGTGTTGTTTGTATGATGGTTTGTATGTATGTTGTTGAGTGTTGTTGCCATGATGGTTTGTATGTTGTTGAGTGTTGTTGCCATGATGGTTTGTATGGTTTGCTGTTGCTGAGTGTTTTTGCCATGATGGTTTTGTATGTTGCTGAGTGTTGTTGCCATGATGGTTTGTATGTTGTTGAGTGTTGTTGCCATGATGGTTTGTATGTTGTTGAGTGTTGTTGCCATGTTGGTTTGTATGTTGCTGAGTGTTGCTGCCGTGATGGTTTGTATGTTGCTGAGTGTTGTTGCCATGATGGTTTGTATGTTGTTGAGTGTTGTTGCCATGATGGTTTGTATGTTGTTGAGTGTTGTTGCCATGATGGTTTGTATGTTGCTTGGAGTGTTGTTGCCATGTTGGTTTGTATGTTGTTGTTGAGTGTTGTTGCCGTGATGGTTTGTATGTTGTTGAGTGTTGTTGCCATGTTGGTTTGTATGTTGTTGAGTGTTGTTGCCATGTTGGTTTGTATGTTGCTTGAGTGTTGTTGCCATGATGGTTTGTATGTTGTTGAGTGTTGTTGCCATGATGGTTTGTATGTTGTTGGGTGTTGTTGCCATGATGGTTTGTATGTTGTTGAGTGTTGTTGCCATGATGGTTTGTATGTTGTTGAGTGTTGTTGCCGTGATGGTTTGTATGTTGTTGAGTGTTGTTGCCATGTTGGTTTGTATGTTGTTGAGTGTTGTTGCCATGTTGGTTTGTATGTTGTTGAGTGTTGTTGCCATGATGGTTTTGTATGTTGTTGAGTGTTGTTGCCATGATGGTTTTGTATGTTGTTGAGTGTTGTTGCCGTGATGGTTTGTATGTTGCTGAGTGTTGTTGCCATGTTGGTTTTGTATGTTGTTGAGTGTTGTTGCCATGTTGGTTTGTATGTTGTTGAGTGTTGTTGCCATGATGGTTTTGTATGTTGCTGAGTGTTGTTGCCATAATGGTTTGTATGTTGTTGAGTGTTATTTGCCATGATGGTTTGTATGTTGTTGAGTGTTGTTGCCATGATGGTTTGTATGTTGTTGAGTGTTGTTGCCGTGATGGTTTGTATGTTGTTGGGTGTTGTTGCCGATGATGGTTTGTATGTTGTTGAGTGTTGTTGCCATGATGGTTTGTATGTTGTTGAGTGTTGTTGCCATGATGGTTTTGTATGTTGTTGGAGCGTTGTTGCCATGATGGTTTGTATGTTGTTGAGTGTTGTTGCCATGATGGTTTGTATGTTGTTGAGTGTTGTTGCCATGATGGTTTGTATGTTGTTGAGTGTTGTTGCCATGATGGTTTGTATGTTGTTGAGTGTTGTTGTTGCCGTGATGGTTTGTATGTTGCTGAGTGTTGTTGCCATGATGGGTTCGTATGTTGTTGAGTGTTGTTGCCATGATGGTTTGTATGTTGTTGAGTGTTGTTGCCATGATGGTTTGTATGTTGTTGAGTGTTGTTGCCGTGATGGTTTGTATGTTGTTGAGTGTTGTTGCCATGATGGTTTGTATGTTGTTGAGTGTTGTTGCCGTGATGGTTTGTATGTTGTTGAGTGTTGTTGCCATGATGGTTTGTATGTTGTTGAGTGTTGTTGCCATGATGGTTTGTATGTTGTTGAGTGTTGTTGCCATGATGGTTTGTATGTTGTTGAGTGTTGTTGCCATGATGGTTTGTATGTTGTTGAGTGTTGTTGCCATGATGGTTTGTATGTTGCTGAGTGTTGTTGCCATGATGGTTTGTATGTTGCTGAGTGTTGTTGCCATGATGGTTTGTATGTTGCTGAGTGTTGTTGCCATGATGGTTTGTATGTTGCTGAGTGTTGTTGCCGTGATGGTTTGTATGTTGTTGAGTGTTGTTGCCGTGATGGTTTGTATGTTGCTGAGTGTTGTTGCCATGATGGTTTGTATGTTGCTGAGTGTTGTTGCCATGATGGTTTGTATGTTGTTGAGTGTTGTTGCCATGATGGTTTGTATGTTGTTGAGTGTTGTTGCCATGATGGTTTGTATGTTGTTGAGTGTTGTTGCCATGATGGTTTGTATGTTGTTGGAGTGTTGTTGCCATGATGGTTTGTATGTTGTTGAGTGTTGTTGCCATGATGGTTTGTATGTTGCTGAGTGTTGTTGCCATGATGGTTTGTATGTTGTTGAGTGTTGTTGCCATGATGGTTTGTATGTTGTTGAGTGTTGTTGCCATGATGGTTTTGGTTTGTATGTTGTTGCCATGTGTTGTTGCCATGATGGTGTTTTGTATGTTGTTGAGTGTTGTTGCCATGATGGTTTTTGTATGTTGCTGAGTGTTGTTGCCATGATGGTTTGTATGTTGTTGAGTGTTGTTGCCGTGATGGTTTGTATGTTGTTGAGTGTTGTTGCCGTGATGGTTTGTATGTTGTTGAGTGTTGTTGCCATGTTGGTTTTGTATGTTGTTGAGTGTTGTTGCCATGTTGGTTTGTATGTTGCTGGAGTGTTGTTGACATGTTGGTTTGTATGTTGTTGAGTGTTGTTGCCGTGATGGTTTGTATGTTGTTGAGTGTTGTTGCCATGATGGTTTGTATGTTGTTGAGTGTTGTTGCCATGATGGTTTGTATGTTGTTGAGTGTTGTTGCCATGATGGTTTGTATGTTTTGTTAGTGTTGTTGCCATGATGGTTTGTATGTTGTTGAGTGTTGTTGCCATGATGGTTTTGTATGTTGCTGAGTGTTGTTGCCATGATGGTTTGTATGTTGTTGAGTGTTGCTGCCATGATGGTTTGTATGTGTTGTTGAGTGTTGTTGCCATGATGGTTTGTATGTTGCTGAGTGTTTTGTTGCCGTGATGGTTTTGTATGTTGTTGCGCATGTTAGTGTTGTTGCCATGTTGGTTTGTATGTTGTTGGAGTGTTGTTGCCATGATGGTTTGTATGTTGTTGAGTGTTGTTGCCATG